TAGTAATAAACTAATAGTTAAATGAATGTGACGAAAGTAATAATTAATTGATCGGATAATTTATTTATTTTAAAAATATAAAAAATTTACTTAGGCGGTAAAGTTGGACTCAACGCTGGTTAAACTTTATTTACTGATCTCTAAATTGTTGATTTAAAATTGGTTAAATATAAAAAATCCTTTTTGGCGGTAGGACCAGCCCCTAATCCTCCCAACTGCACGTAGACAAATTAAAATAAATAAATAACAATAATAATGATAATAATAATAAAGGGAAATTTTTTTAAAAAAATATATGAAACTTAGGGATAGAAACAAATGGTGAAGATGAAAAGGGAGGAGCTCTCAATTTTGAAGCCCTTTTGAAAAACTTTCCTTTCCCCTCGGCAAGCTTACTACGCGAAGAATTCAGTTCCTTTCTCTCTCTCTCTCTCTCCATCTTTCTGGTTGATTTTCTCGCAGCTTTACGTCTCCAGCACGGTCTCTGTTTTCCATTTCATATTTATTCTCTCTCTGTTATCCAGAGAGGAGAAAGGTTGGTGGAGTAATTCATTGAATCTATCTAATCCGGATCGACGAGTTTCAGGTATGTTCTAGATCTGTTGCTTTCTCCTTTTTTTTTTTTTTTTTTTTTTGCGTTTGCCGACTGTTCGCCGGATGTTTCGCATCTGGTATTTACTTTGTTTGAGGAAGTGAGGCTCGTTGATCAATCGGTGTGTTTGTTTGTTTGTTTGTTTTTTTTTTATCATTTGATTACTTGAATCACTGGCGAATTGGTTCTTGTGTGTATTGAATTGTTTACGGATTTAGATTCTCGTGTGATTGTGGTTGTGTTTATGAAAAGTGAATTTTTCAGGTATATTTGGGATATGGCTGAGGATAAAGCCGCTGGAGAAGGTGAAAAGAAGGATACTGTTGCGGATGCTGCCGAGAAGAAGAAATCCCCGGGGATTTTCTCGCGGCTTTGGAGTGTTATCTTCCGTGTACGCGGCGATGATTTTGAGAAGAGGCTTCAACACATTTCTAAGGAAGAAGCCGCTGTGCTTGCTAGGTTGAAGCGTAGAGCCCTAACCTGGCGGCGAATGGCCAGAAATCTTATTGTATTTTCTGTCATTTTTGAGGTGATTGTCTATTTTTATGGAGCATGGTTACTGTTCAGATTGCTTTTACTTTTCCAATTGCACTAGTTTATGTCAATGTGATTGAATTGCATCCTACATAAGTCTTCTTTGCCCGTCCAACGCTGTTTATCTTTTTATAATGGGCATACTTTTGAATGAATTCATCTGCCCCCCATGAGGATTTTTTTCAATGATTATTTTTATTTTTTCCTTTCAGATTATTGCAGTTTGTTATGCTATCATAACTACAAGAACTGTAGATATGAACTGGAAGATGAGAGCATTCAGAGTTTTACCCATGTTCCTTTTGCCTGCATTATCAACGCTGGCTTATACCACATTTCTTAGCATCACAAGAATGTGTAAGTATATCCACTTGATTATCTGTGTTTTTCTTTTATTGACATTATATCTACGCCATGCACTTTATTTTTCCCCTTGATGTATTTGGTGTTCTGTTTGTTTATTGCTGCGTTGGTTGATTTTCTTTCTTGTTCATTATCGATGGTATCAATGATTAACCATACATGTAAACAAGTGCTGGAGTTGGTAAAAAAATGCATCTAATTTAAACAGATTTACTTGGTGTTGGCACATGATGCCTGGACATGAAGATGAAGCTCAAGGGCCAATGCTGGAATAAGAGTAATTCTTCATCGAAGAGAATGATAGTTCAGATAATTTGCTTTCTTCTTAAGCATCTTGTTGCCAAGAATTAAACGGCATCTTACTGATGACCGCAGTACTACTTAGCGTTTATAGGTTTTCTGTTACCTTGTACGGGATCCATGATTCTTGTGCCTGTCATTTGCTTCTAACAATGAACATTGTTCGCTGCATATGTAGAGTCATACTACAAATTTGGTACTTCGGCAAACATGGATGCTTGGAATTCTGAACTAGCATCCTTGTGAGTTTGGAGTGGCTTGTATCTTTTGACTGAAACCCATTTTGAGATTTTTGAATTCTTGTTTGTCCTGGATTTTAAAATCTAGCTTAAGTGTTCGTTGAAGTCATGATGTTAACTTTCTATTGGCATATTGGAATATGTTGTCACAATAACGAGTCTCTGGCAACTTTATAGGTGATCAGAAGGACCAAAAAACCCTTGAAAGGCTGAGAGCTGAGAGGCAAGCTAAAATTGATGAACTCAAGGAGAAAACTAATTATTACACTACTCAGCAGCTCATCCAGGTAATGCTGTTTTTCCAATATTTTTTCCCCTCGTTTATTTCTCGAGTTTAGCATGGCATTTCTCTAATCTGTGTTTCGCCTTGCTTCCTATTGTTGCCCTTCTGTCTGTCTGACCCATATCAGTTTTAACCTTCTCGGTGTGTTCATTGCAGTCTAAGCGCAATTTCCCATCTTTATAATAACCAAGTATTTTGACGTAAAATGACTGATATTCGCTAATATTCACGTAAACTGACTGATATTCGCTATACAAGTTGTAACCTTTTCGTTTTAATTTGGGATGGTAAATGCAATGTTCTTTTAAAGTTTGCTTAAGCACCGGAAACTTTCTCCCTTCATTTTGATGACAAAATAACACCACAGTCTTATACAAGATTATCTCATTGGATTTGAAGTACAATTCTGATGAATTATGCTGATGATTGACCTGTCGTTTCTTTAGAGCTTTTCTGCTGGATTGAACAATATAGCCAAATTTGTGCAGCCTTTTTTTATTCAAAACCCCACGATGTCCTTATTTCTGTACCCCTTTTTCTTTTACAGAGGTATGACTCTGACCCTGCTGCAAAGGCGGCAGCTGCAACTGTATTGGCTTCTAAGTTGGGAGCAGAGTCAGGCTTAAAGGTTCATTTGGGCGACGAATCCAATCTTAATGTTCCATTAGGGAAAAGCAATGATATTGAACTTGTGCCTGCTGGTGGTGGGCTTCGGAACAGAAAACAAGGTCACTCCCGTTCCAGTAGCGTAGGCAGTGCCTCATTGCATCATTTTGATGAAGATGCACATCGTCCTGCTGTATCAGAAGGTCCTCATGCTTCTGAGCATAATCAGTTGGTCGTTGATCATTACAATCCTGAAGGACTAGGTGCAAATAACGGAGGATGGTTAGCTCGAATCGCTGCATTGCTCGTTGGAGAGGATCCAACGCAGTCCTATGCACTCATCTGTGGAAATTGCCATATGCACAATGGTGAGCGTTCCTATTCAACCCTATACAATAATACTCTCTTCTCACAATCTGAAAATTCACGCACTTCTTCCCCTTCCATATCAATCTGAATCAACCCTTTTTTTAAAAAAATCCTTTGTAGGGCTTGTCAAGAAAGAAGATTTCGCATTCATTACGTACTACTGCCCACATTGTCATGCCTTGAATCGATCGAATCAATCAGAGGAACGAGTTTCTGGGCAGGGTAGTCCAAGTGCTGGTGGTTCTATAGAAGCATCAAGAAGCGCTAGTGACCCATTAGTACTCACCAGTAATGTCAATGCAGAAACAATTTCTGAGATTCAGAACACCATAAAAGAAACAGAATCTGGAAACGAAGTTAGCGATGGAGTAAAGGTACGCACAGCTGAAACGACGTAATTATAATAATACATCACGAAACTAGAGTTGTTTGATCATTGATTGCATTGCTTGGGCTTGTTATCCCTTGTTCATATTGTGGGCGTTATTGAGAGAAACACATTATCTTCATAGTTTGCTTCCTGCTTGATTGATATCTTGTAAACTGGCACCGTTGAGGTGAGTTAACTTTGTTCTTCTTTTCTTCATTTTATTGCCTTTCCCCCCTTAGAGTTGCTGGTGTATACATAATAGATTACATGGATTTTCTTGTAAACATGTAAAACTGTTGAGTTTTGACTTTTAATGGAAGTGTCTAAAAGATCATCATACTTCTAGTTTGTTTATTTATTTATTTATTTATGAGTTATGTTTTACGAGAATGTACAAGTCAAGTTTGGTACACCAAGCCCGTTGCACAAATCTCTTGCTTTCAAATAGGTTATTCCTTATCAGCTTGCCAAACAACAAAGATTTGAAGAATGACTGTCTTGTTTTTTAGCCTACGAAAGAAAAATCCATTAGAACATATAACACAGTCGTGAATGGGAGAATGAATACGGTACCATAAGGAGGAATTTCTCGTTCTTCATGTCGAAGGAGGAGGTGTATGGTAATACCTAAGTTTAGGATAAAAGAATTGGACAAAGGTCTATATTGAAGTTAGAAATTAAGATAGCAAGCCTATTTGAAGAGAATTGTTACACGAGCGAGTTAAGTCTATTAGAGTGGATTTCTTTGAGTGTCATGTTCAAGCAATATCATGAATGTACGAGAGAAAATGAATCATTAAATCAATAATAAAATAGATGATCATGGTAGATATTTCTCGATTTTGACCGACAGAGATTTACAGTATAATTAAAAAAAAGGGTTAGGAAGGGTTATTCCGTAAGGAGTTCCTTTTTTGCTATTTATATTTTATTGATATTTTTATAAAAACAAAATAAATAATAATAATAAAAAAAAAAGAAAAAAGAGCAGATTATATAAGATATTATCTTCACATCTGTTTACTTGTCTACCCACTTTAGTGGAAGCTTGGAACAAGCAAAAGACATTGAGCTGTCGTATCTTACCATTGGTTTCCCACTAAAAAAAAAAAAAAAAATTAAATTTTAAATTTAAATTTTAAATTTTGTCTCCACATTTCATAATTATTAATCCTTGAAATTTAAATTTTTAATTTCATGTTTAATAAGTTATTAATATATTTAACATTTTATTATAATTAATTATTAATAATACAATACCATTTTAAATTTTAAAATTTATAACATTTTAACATAACATTTGTTTAATAATATTGCCAACACATAGAGACAAAAAAAAAAAAACTAAATGTACCCGAAAACTTTTACACACGGTGCGATTGCGACGTCGTCGTTTCAATTTCCAAGTCTTCTCTTCTTTTCTTCTCCTCCATATTCTGGTTATGGCTGCAATCGATCAGGACTAGTTGATCTCAAACCCCTGTAAATCAACGGCGATCCCCAAAATGGATCTCCCTGTGTGTTCGGAATCAGATCCACCGTCTGTGGTTGCGACCGCCGTGAGCTCCTCGGAACCACTGGTCCCAGTTGACGTCCGTTGGACCGATTGTTCTGCATATGATGAATCATTCTTCGTTGATTAGGGGAAGAAATTGTCATTTTATTTGAAGATCGATAATTAGTGTTGACGGTGATTTAATCTTACTCTGGAAGCAGAGGATCTGGAATCGCTACGACGCTGGAGACGAGGCTGTGCGTAAACAGGAGAAGAAATTAGTGGAGACGATGATCCTAAACTATTAGGAATTTTTCGAAACCCTAAGGAATTGATTTATTTGCTTACTCTTCGCAGACGGTGGAGGATTCGCCTATGCTCTCGAGCTGTCGCAATTCTTCCTGCATTATTACGGTAAATTATCGTATTTAATCTCAGAGGGAAAAGAATCGTGGCTGGAGATATGGATTTTATTGTCCGATTAAGGTAAATCTGTGAATCGTAAACGAAATAGCGATCACCTCGATGATATTGATTTCGTTTTGGAGTCTGGTTATGGCCGCTGAGATTCTATGTCTGCCAAAGAAGGTGTTCTTGCTCCGAACTGCAGATTTTGATTTGGTTTCTGAATTGACTCCTTCTTGTCTCTTCGCTGACTCTTCTCCAGACGGCGACGGCGAGGACATCGGCTGTGACTGGTGCTGTTTATCATCATCCATTGTTGCAACTTTCAGGTAATAAATCAAATTCAGAACTCCTTATCTGTTACGATAAATCGCAGAATAGAGAGAAATACAGGAATCTTAGAAAAGCAAGGGGAATTGAAGAGAAGGAGAAGAACTATAGGTTGTTTTGTGAGGAAAAAGGTGGGCGGGGAAGGTGAGAATATTATAAAACATTCAAAAAGGTGAAGAAATGGTGCGGCCAAAGCTGGAAACAAATGATGAAAGCAAGGTTTTATGTGTGTTTTTGTGATGTAATTGGAATAATTGAAGAAAGAAGAAAAAGAGATGAGATTATGATGAAAAGGAATAAAGTGGACAGTCAAAACCCTGTGAAAAAAGTAACACCAAAAGATCAGAAAAAAGCAATTTCTGAACTACAGTTGCTGCTTAAGGTATGCCTTTTTGCCCTCTTCCTCTCTCTCCGCCTCTCTCTCTGCCTCTCTCTCTCTCTCTCTCTCTCTGTCTTGTTCTTCTTCTGGTTCCCTGTTTGATGAGGAAGGAGATTTTGACAATTGAGGGAGAAGAAGAGGAGGGAATTGAGATTTTTAATAGAATTTGAGGAGTTGATGAGGTCAAACAAACCCATCAAAGCCGCCATGTCTCCCTCTCCATTTTTTCTTCCATAGCTTAATTAATATCTTTCTCACACAAACTACCTCCCCATCGCCTCTTCAATGCTACTTTTTTTCTCCTCCATGTTCTAAACCATTAGAATAGAGTCAATTAACACCTAATCTTTGAGCTTCTAAGTTCATTAGTTGTTTAGTTGTGATCTTCCATCTTAATTTTTTTTTCTTTCAACGTGTTAGATTTTGGTGTGGGCCATTCATTTGGACCCATTGAAACGTATATTATTAACCATTAGGTCCGAGGTTCGAATTTCCCTTCGAAATCAGTCCGAGGTCCAAAATTCTCTCTCCATGTTGTTTATGTTATTACCCATTAGGTTAGAGCTTCTAAGTTCATTAGTTGTGCTCTTCAATCTAAAAACTTTTTTTTTTCTTTCAATGTGTTAGCTTTTTGGGGTGGGTAGTTAGTTTGGGGACTCATGAAACATATATTATTAATCATTATTAGGTCAGAGGTTCGAAGTCCCCTTCAAAATCTGTTTGAGGTTCGAAATTCACTCTCCATGTTGTTTATGTTATTAACCATTAGGTCAGAGGTTCGAAATCTACTTTCATTGTTGTGTAGAACCAATACAAAAATTTTGATTTATTTGTTTATCAGTCTTGAAATAGTTATTTTTAATAAATTTTGATACTTACCTTATCGGTTATTATTTTATAAAATAATTAATTTATATCAACCTTCCTCTTTAAAATTATATTTTTATCTAATTTTTTTCATACAGAAGTTATTGAGATTAAAATAGTATTTTAATTGAAGTTAAGATTTTTAATATTATATTATTCAAATCATTGAGAACGCCAAAGCCTTGATTAGATCAATTTTATGAAATTAATTATGATTAGTTTAGTTAGTTTGATTAGTTAAAATTGAATAATGATAGAAGTATTAATATAAAATGCTATGATTTTGAACTTAACACAATAATTGCTTTATTTGGAAATTATTACTCGTTTTGATTAATTAATTAATTAATGAAATCCAACCAATCAATGAAAGTTAATGAATATAATTAATTATTCTGTAGGTTGCATTTATTAAGTAAATAAAAGGAATTGTAGGATGAAGGAAAATCCTGAGTCATTTAGTTATTATTATTTGTTTAATTACCTTTTTTTTTATAATAATTTTTTATTTTTCTAAATTACTTTTTTAGAAAAATTTATATATAATATTACTTTTTTAGAGAATTCACAAATAAACATACAAAAATCAATTTTCATTTTTTTAAATTTTATTTCAAGTGTTTTATTAAAAAAATCAAAATTAAGCACTTCATTCTAAAAACATTTGTGAAAATACCAAAATATCCCTTGCCTTTTCCCACTTTATAACAAAGTTATCCCCAAGTGCAAGGTAAGTACATCTTAAACTCTATCCTCTAAGGAAGGAGAAAAAGGTCAATTTATTTTTATTTCTATTATTTTTTTAATTTTATTTTGGCGGGTATAAAAGGAGGACAAGACAGACCAATTGGCCAATTAGGGCTCAAAAGTTTAAATCTCGCCATTTCCCTCCATTTTCTGACCATGGTGAACTCTCCCTTTGAACTTCCGGATTTCACCACTTCACGGCTCTAACAATCTCATTCTTTGATCTTCTGATCTTATCGGAGCTGTAGGAAATGGCTTTTAGATCATCAATGGCGAAGCTCTCGTTGTTTTCTTTTTCTCCGTTTACAGCATTTGGTCTTCATCTCTACTGCTTCACTGCCGAGAGTCTTCCGGTGCTGTTCCATTTCTACCGCTACTGATTTCGAGTAAGGCAAGGAAGGAGAAGCAAAAGAAATCCAAGAATCTTAAGGCGAATACCTGTGTTTCGAAATCATCGGAGTCTTCTTCTTTATCTTCGAAGTTAGCTTTGGTGAAGGAGAAAACGACTCGCTTCACCAAGGAGTTTGATGAGACCGCTGTCCAGTTCGGCGACACTGCTGCTCACATCCTGGTGACGCTTTCGGAAGTATTGGACGTATTCTCTGCTTCTTCCGGAAGGCCGCTAAGCTCCTTTGTAGATTGCACCGTCGGTGCAGGTGAACACTTCTTAGCTGTTAGTCTCTGTCTTAACATGTTTGCCTTCTTGTCCTGTTCGTCGTTAATGATTGATTCGGTGCATTTTTGGTTAACAATTATTATTCGAATGTGTTTTATGATTGTATTTCTCTCGTCAAATTTTCTGAAATATATTATTATTCGTGTATATCTGCAGCCGGATTAGATGCTCATCCAAATTCCTATCAAAATTTACAATCAATGAGCAGTTTAATGTGCGCTGATTTGTATATTGAATTCAGTATTGTGTTTTATGTGGAGCTACATTTGGCCATAGTAGTGATCGATCTTATCTACGTGCTTTTTTCTTTACTATTGTTTCGCCTGCGAAATTTTGGATTAACTTGCAGTCTGTCATCCTGTGTCGTTCCTTTGATGTTGATGCACGAGAATTTGGAATAAGTGCGGCTTTTGACACAACGTACTTTGATAACTGCTCTTTTCCGTGGCTGTATTCGCTCTCTTAGCATTTTCTGTCCGAGTTGATTTTTCTTTTTCATGATGTTCAATTCTGATTTCGTGTCCTGGAAAACAGATAATTCAAGCACATCCAGAGTTGAAATTTTACTTGCAAATGGAAGTCATCCAATTGCACTTCATAAGGCCGAAGATCGGATTAGTGCTTTCTTCAGCGAGGATTCTGATTTGAAGGCATTCGTACTTCTGAAGAACTTAAATACATGAAATCGCTACTGGCTGACTCAGACGAGAAACCTTTAGATCCTGGAGTTGACGGAATTTTGATGTATTTAGGAATGTCATCCATGCAGGTAAATCAAAGAGAATTCACAGATTTTTAAAATATTTAGCTCAGTCTGTGATGAGGTTCAAGGTACAGTTCTATTAAAACAGTGGAGAGAGTAAACCTGTATGCTAGTACATGTAAGGTGCTAATGGAAATACAAGGCAAATACAGAGTGAACAACATAAAATATATAGAAATAATTGTAGAATGCCAAGTTACTGTTATTTAATATTACAGTTGGGATCCAATGTATGAGTAGTACGGTCCACTTTCTTTACAGGGAAAATCATGATAACAGTTAACAAAGTTATCTTTCCATGATACCTCATTGATTCATCCCATGGAGTTTATGAGATTTAATTTCTCGCATAGAATGTAATCTTTTAACAGCCTGAAATTTGGCAATTTTCCAGGCTGCTTAGGTGGACGATCCTGAAAGGGGAATTAGTGTCTTTGGTGATGGACCTCTTGATATACGAATGGATCCTCAGGTACAAACTGGTTTAATAAATTAGTAGATAATGTATGAGTCCGTTTCTAGCTATTCCATTGTTTATGCTTGCTATACTGTTACTTACCGAATCAACTATAAGCTATTCTTTACGTTTTTCCTTTGTAGTTAAACTGATTCATCCATGCGGGCAAATTTTCTTACAAAAACGTAAAACGATGATACTTTATGTTGTTAGTGTCGTGTTTGGGTGTGCGTGAGACGTATAATAGTCAGTTGCTTGTTTGTACGCGTTCACTTATTTTATTTCATTCTGCGCATGCTGAATTAGAAGTGCTTTTACTGTTACACGCTTATTGCTTTGGTATATTGAGTTACCGATGATTATTTCTGTAACTGTTTGTTGGACCGCCTGCAGATTACTGATTTTCTTTCTAACTGGTCCTTTGTTCTCTTTATGGCTGGATGTAACGGTACAGTCCTTCCCAATCCCACAAGGCCACAAGGGGGTGGACTGCATTCCTCCAGTGAATTAGTTGATCTTCTTATCCGAAAATCCACTTTGGGCTGAAAAGGTAAGCACTGCTCGTTCTTTGAGTCGTGCCTTCATTGATTTTGTTTCTTCTTCTTTTTTCGCGTCTGAGCCACATCGATCTTTGTTTATTATTGTTCCTTGTCATATCAATCATGATTGTGTCTCTATGAATTTGAGGTCCATTTCTTTTCACCCCGACCTTTGTAATTTCATATCATTTCATCTTTACATAAGGACTCGCTTGAAAATAAGTTAAAAGATCATTTTCTTACTTTGGTATGAATATGTGATGTAAAATTTAATGGAAATAGAAGAATATTCCAAGCTCTGAGGATTGCTGTTAATGATTGACTGAAGGTATTAGAAGACGCCACCCTGTATGCATATCATTTCTTTCCACAGTTTGGAGGGTAGGGTTGTGAAGCAAACATTTCTGGATATCATAAACCCGAAAACCGAAAGAGATGAGTGATTCAGGACAGGAATGGATTAAGCATGGTGTGAAGGGTTCAAAAGGTACACTCTATAGAGGAAGAGAGGTTGAATCGGCGCAGTAGGAATGCTAAGCTCAAGGTAATTCGGAAGGATAATGTTGTCTTCTGATGGGAAACCAGTGAGTGTGCGGACTTCATTATTATGGTCATCTGGTAGGTGCGCATCAAGGTTTGCCAGTCACATCTATTTCCTTTTCATGAACGACTTCTCTCTCTACGTTTATATTAACTTTCTGATTTCATTTTATTTTTATTTTTTCGATTATCAGTTTGATTGAAAATGTTTATTTTTTAAACAGAATCAAGTCCATTTCAATTTTTAAGACTCAAGGTTTGGGGTTGATTTTCTTTTTCAAAAAACAGGATTTTGTATGCTACAGATAACTACTTGAGTTTTGGATATTGTTTTCTATCTATAAAAATTGTGCTTGATTTTTCAAAACTAAGCTTATAAACACCATTTAAGCTTGTTTTTAAAATTTATCTAAGAATTCACACATTGACAATCACACCCAAAAGAAAGTTCATTTTTGTTTTTGAAATAGTAATAACTATTTCAGTGCCTTAAATTCTATTTTAATAACAGGATAGAAAACATTGTCGACGAACAAGAAAAATGTTATATAAAAATTGTGGCTAACATTATAATTCATTTTTCTAGTTATAAAAATTTTTAAACATCTATGCCATTGATTTTTTAAAAACGTAATGAAGGATGAGGGAAGGGAAACAAAGTATGAGAAAGGGTTGCTAAAAATAGATTACAATAAAATGGAATTATATTCATGAGAAATCTACTCTTAAGATTCTTTTCTGCTCTTTACAGGGGCCGGTTAGCGAATCTGCACAACATCCCCTTGAAACGTAGGGAAATGATTTACCAGATAAAACTACCTGAAAGGGACACAGACGATCAATGTTTAATAGACTATGCAGCCAGCAATGGATAATCAAAAACTAATTATTCCTCATAATGCAATCAGCAAACGAGTGTAAAATGCTACTTCTACTTTTGCAATTGTTGCAGGGTAATATGAAGTTGTTGGAAACAAGCTAAATGGTATGAAATCAGATACCTGAATGGAGCGATGGTTGAAAAATCCAGTAATCAACTTCTGGTGCCGCTTCGACAATAGTCCAAGTGCCTTTAAAAAACCCGGTAATCAACCTCAAATATCTGTTTGATCTTGAGAAAAATAACCAATATATATTTACATCGGTACTAAATATGGCCGCTTTGACAAGACTCCCCCGTCCAAGCCGCATTTGGTGAAGGCAACGTACTCCTAATGAACAGAAAATACCAATTTCAACATCATAATATATATAAGATAGATAGTAACTAACTCAACTCAGGTATGAGAACATACAAAATGCAAGTACAATTGATAACTCACAGAGGCGCTCGCAAAGACAGACGAAATGCGTTCCACAAATCCAAAGAATCAACCTGCAGCAAATGGATGGTATTGGCAGTTGTTTACATTGAACATCATAAACTCAAGAGCATGGACGGGAAAAAAATAGATTTTCGTTCCACTTGCCATAATAAACATTGATAATTTTACCCTATAATCAATCACTTATCAGAAAAGAAACTAATTTGTAAGAATCCAAATCCCTTTCCCATCAAGAAGCATGAAGAGAAAGATGAGAGGAAAATTCAAAGATACTTACTCACCAAGTGATCAGACTTCACATCTGTAGAATCATCATCAACCTCCACAAGAAGTATCCTGAGCCACAATTTCAGAAAAATATCAATTAGAAAAGTTCTAAAACATTGGTAAAAAAAACATACAGAATTAAGAAAAGTGTCATTTAATGATAAATAAGAGTGGCACCTGCATATTATTAAGGCCCGAACACACCTAGCATAATTAGAGCATATGATGTTCCCTTAGGAGCTGCAAAAAGACATGCCTGCAGTAATAAATCAGCTCTTAACTGTTAAGATGGAGAGAAACTAGACAGCTAACAAACCATTAAATGCTTTCAAAGTTGAGAGAGTTGACAAAGAATGAAGAGCAATGGATGATGAAGATACTGCTAGAATAATACACCTGCAGAGAGAGATGGGAAGCCCATGCAATCTCTTGCTTCGGAGCTCTCTCAGAATCAATTTGTACAAACAACCTCATCTTCAGAATCTAAGTCAATCCAAGAACTAATTTTGCCTGGGACACAAAAAATAATAATAAATAATAAATAAATAAAATATTACAAAATATACTCATTGTATGCTACAATAAGTGTAAGAAACCAGAGAGCAGACAAGCAATCGAATATTAAATTTTCACAAGGCTACCAACAACGTGGCTGTTCAATGAGAACACCGTTCTCTTTTTGTTTCAAGCTTGGCCGACAAGATGGATCCATTTGAAGCAATATTTACCAAATAACAGTTTTAGGAAGTTATGAAATCAAAATATCCTCACAAATGTTAATCAAATACATATCTACAAGTTAAGAGTAACCAGACATCCCAAAGATTTGTTAATATCCACTCATCAAAATGTATTTAACAGTCCAAGTGTGAAGATTACATGGTCTATATTCACTGCACGGACAATTAATAAATATTGTTTTCGGTGAGCTTACTGACCATTCACACAAAAAAAATACAGCTATGAGCTGATGTGTGACTAGCTAATTGGCCACCATTAGTACTCTGCAAATATGGAGAATCAAACAAACTACGTTGATGGATGTATCATTTTCAAAAAGATCCAACAGTACTGTAAAATCTAAATATCTACAACCTCAGGTGCGGCATGCCTTATAAGCATGCAGATGATAAATTTTATTGCTCCAGAAACTTCATAAACGTTTCAAGCTTGAAGCGGCTGTGTATCAATTCAATAAATAGAAGTAAACGAATATAAGAATGAAGGAAATGGCATCAAATACGAAAATAATTAGCGATCCTCTAGTGAAATATCAAGTATCTTATCGTTCTTATATTTTTGAGCCAGATTATTACTGTACATCCAGCCATACTCTTCGACACGGTTTGAGAAATGTACTTTGACAGCCTTGAAGTGAAACCACACGATCTTCCTTCACTAGATTGGCTGCCAAACGACGTTGATTTAGGTGAGCTTACTGACCATTCACACAGAACATACAGCTAAATAGCCGGTGTGTGACTGGCTAATTAGCCACCGTAATAACAAGAAACAGTGCAAAACAACAACGAAATAAAGATCTAACCAACGTACTCCGTTCACTTTCAAACAAACAGACAAAGAACGCTATTCTTGGATACGGAGAGAAAAATGCGCACTACGTGCAAACGCAAAAGAAAAATAACACTCATCGAACGCCATTTCTCAGTCAGTTGAGGTCTAAACATCATTTCCAGCAGTAAATATCGAAAAGAGAAATGGAAGAATGCTAACCAAAGGAGTGACGACTAAGTCAAATGGAGCAGAGGCACACCGTCATCGAACTCAGTCGCCACGTCACAAAACAGAGACTCGATCTTGTCGCCAATCGATCTCCAAGCGGCATTTTCGTAGAACAGCACCTTGAAAGAGCCAAAATAGAGAGAGAGAGGGAGGGAGGGAGAAACAGGGATTTGTTGGGGTTTTAAATGGAAGTTTTGGGCGCCGATATTTAAGTGGAGGGATTTCTAACAAGAAGCTAGGGTTTTGAGCGCGAGGCCCAATCGATGTGGAACACGTAAAACGACATGTCGACTACTGAATGACAAAAACTAGATTTTTAATATGTTAATCTTAATAAATTCAATCGTCATGTCCGATGGTAGGATGGGATTTTTTTTTTTTTTTTTTTTTTTTTTTTTTTTTTTTTTTTTTTTGATGATTGACTATGTGAATTTTAGATCCCGACCTTAAGGCAAGTGCTACATATTAATTTATGTCATACTACTCGGTTCAAAACTCCTAAATAATTAATTTTTTTTTACAATTATTATAAGTTAGGTCGAGGTTGAAAATGAAAAATAAAAACTCATACTATCATGATATAATTTCATTGATGAACATTCCTTGAAATATCATATTCACAATTAAGTCCTTACTTAATAGTCAATTACAGTGCAGTAAACTGAAACTGAATTATTATTCTCACCGAACAAAGAAATTTCATGCGTTGTTCTTAAGAGCCTCAGCACTGTCTCCGTTTTCCTCAATTTCATCAAAGTAGTCCTCTCGAGCATTTCCAGCCAACATCAGGGTAACCAACCAGAAGAGGGATGAATCAAGGGATAGAAAGGCACCACCACCCAGAAGACCAGTCTTAGCGGTCGGGCATGCTGCCTCGAGATTGTGATGAACGTTGCGAGTCAAGTGAATTTGCTCGATGACTGTAGGCCATAGAAGCAAAGTTATAGCCAATCCAGTTGTGAACCTGCAAACACAGAGGGTGGATTCAAATGATATGGCAACAATGCCTTACAGAAACCACACCGATCCGATCGATATGAATGTTTGATTGATAACGTTTCCATTTCACATTTTATTTTTATTGAGGGTGGAGAGAAAGACGATAATTAGGTGGTGCATTATCCCAAGGATCGAATCCATTCGACGACTTGGGGAAAAAGAACATCCATTGCAACTCGACTTCATCAAAATGTAAATAAAAACAGATCCCAAGTGATCAAATAAATACGGCAATGGACGACAACACACCTCTCAACTGATAAACATGCAAGAAATCTTGTTTCAAATCAAACCGCAGGAGTAGATTCTCAGAGAAAAGCAAGAATTTAATGAAACCATAATACAAGTAAATACTACAAAGTTTAGAAGTTTTAGCCAACAGTTAGAGTAAAGGATGTGAATTGGAAAGAGAACTTACAGGGCAATGTTGAAGAAAATGGAGAAAGTGCTGCTCTTAAACATCGCACCTCGAGGAACGGATTTTCCTTGGTAAGGATAGAACAAAGAGAAGTATCCTGCAATTGAAGAAGCAAGAAGAAACGCAACGGAAAGATATCCCAGGGCCACAGTTGGGTCCGCTGGATATTGACAGATAACAATGCCTTTGCCTGGGATGGGAGTTCCGGATGCAGGCTGCCCACAAGCAAACACAACAAAAAAAGGACAGTGCCCATTAATGAGGGAGCGAGGAAAATTCTCAGGACACGAGAGTAAGCTAACTTATATGATATAGACAAAGACAAACTATTCAACAACAACCAATTCAATCCGCGTCTTAATTCTTGATGTGACAGTTTCAAATGATCAAATATCTACACAGTAAGAATCAAACAATTTATGAACAGAAGCTTACCTTCTTGTTCTCAGCTACGACTCCAAATATAAAGGATATCACACCTAGAGTTGTGACAGTAAGAGACATTATCTTGACAGACACGGCCATTGATCCCAAGATAAATTTTACCAGACACCTGCAGGGAACAAAAGAGTTTTCAGAACGGATGGAAAACAAGGCAGATTTAATAGAATATGTTATGACTGCAAGTTTTTTTTTTTTTTTTTTTTTTTTTATAGAATATAGTTTTTCCAGATTCACAGTGGAAAAATACAGACTCCTCAATAGCTTCCCCTCTAGTCATGTGTTCTAAGAGATTCCACACTATAAGATCCAAAGAAGATCAATGATACGACTGAAGATTAGTGGAAAACACACCGCACGAAAAGCAATAACATCAAACGTTCCAATCTTAGCTTGATCGCTCTAATCCCCAAGCAAACCAAATTAAGAATCATCTTTTGTCAATCACAGGAAAAAAAATCATACACGGGGAAGAATCACGAAAGTAAGAACAATAGAACTAAAATCTAATAATCGAACAATCAAACGAAAGCTACTCTGTAACAGCAATTCAGCTCCAACCTAGATACCATAATCAAGCCGAGAAATCATAAACAACTTAAACAATACCTAAAACACGAAATTCTCCTCCAATTTCTACAGAAAAACAAAATTCAATCACCAAAATTGGCGGCAAGGGTGATTTACGGAATATTCACAGAAAAAACGATTAAATTCAAGAGAAATCGCAAGAAAACCTACAGAATTGAACGACGAAGAAAAATGTGCAAGAGAACAGGAAAATCGCTTTCGTTCCCGCTCCCACTCCCACTCCGGATTTCGGCGAAGACTATGGAATGAGATAAGTCAATGCTTGATATTTATAGTGCTCGGTATCGTCCAATGTATATCCTGGAATCTACTTGTAATCTCTGTAGGCGTATTTAAAATATGGAATTGGGAATTATGTCGTTTTTAAAAAGTCAGACTTAAGCGCCAGCTGGCATTGGTTTTAACTAGGGTTAATTTTTAACCATATTAATGAATGTCTGCCCCCAAACAAACAAAAAAAAAACAAACAAACAAACAGATGAACACATAACTTAATCAATCTAATTTTTATGATTTTAGTTTGAGGGTGATATCCATGCCAAATCATCATAGGTGTAAGTAACAAGCTCGTGTCGACTGGGTTAATGTGTCTGACCGTAATGATCCCACAAGAAAGGCATGGGTCGGAAAAAAAAACGAACAACAAAACGCACCGATTGATACATGCGGGAGTGTTCAAAATTATTTGTGAACCACCAGGTGATGAATCCAACCCAAATTATCGTGATTTGAGTTTTTTTTTAGCACGCATAATAGAAAAAAATTAAAAAAAAGAAACTAAGTAATGCATAGACGGAAGGTGATAAAATGGTCGAATTATAGAGGGTGATCCTTGAGCCAAGATATCGATCGTGTATGTTTTTAAGCGTGTGTAGCAAGCTCACAAGCTACCGAGTTGCACTTTTGATTAACAAAAAGATGGTATTGGTCTCTACTACATCGATGCTAGTTGCTGATAGAATTAACAAACGTTTGGAGCTTGTTTACGTGTCAAAATATTTTGCGACATAAGGTTCGAGAGGATAGCTTAGTATGCTTTAAACAGTAAGAAATGAATACGCGCCTTTAATACTTTAGGAATACCTTCGCGAAGAGATATTTTTTTGACAAGCTAGATACAACTAACTGAATATTTAATTTGATCTAAAGTCATCGTACTTTTTCCACTGGGGTCACAAACTTATGCACCAATGACCGCACCACTGTTTCTTATAACTGTATTAAACTTCAATTTGATGGAGAAGGTTCATTGATCAACAATACGAACAACGAAATAGTAATGAGCTCCCATTATCAACTTATGAGCTATCGAATATTTGATGCTCAACCCCACTTTTTTATGTAAGATATAAAATTTTCGATTTAGATAGTTCGACCGTAAATACACCTATCGGTATAATTAGGAAGCAAAAAAAACAAAAAAACATATCTAATGTTTGAAATATCTCGAAAAAAATGGTGAGAGATTAATAACACAAATCTCGGCTTCTTTTATATATATATAACTTTTAGGTCAGGTTGGTTTGACTATAAACACGAGGTTATACGTATGGATATAAATGGGAAAAAACTCTTAAATATGGCTTTTATGTCAATTTTACCCTTTCATTATAAGTATTCTAGCTAGCAACATGGTACCGAGGTAGGAGGGTTGAGTTGAAAAAATCTTTCGGACCAATTTAAAATATGGGTCGGTGACTCGAGCAATCAAAATAGAGTTTAAAACTCATGGATTGAGTTGGATTGGATTATCGGGTTGTCATTTTTTTTTAATTATTTAAAAATCATATTTATCCACCATACACGTTACACTTTAATAACTAAAATTTAAATATTACTAATATTTGTTCATTTTATGTTTCGGTGATTTGATTTTGCATGTTTATTTATTTTTTTCGGGTAAGTAATATTTTAATGGCTCGACATATATTTTTTTTGTTTAAAATTTTACAAAAATAGAGAATCAAACGGGACCGAGTTGCCTTTCCTACCTTAGGAACATCCCTACCTTAGGAACATGAAAAATATCATTAAAATTTCAATGATAAATTAATAATTAAATTTAAAAAATACTCTGAAACTATGTGATTTATTTTTAAAATACATCTATTTATGCCATATTATTTGCTTCAAAACTATTAAATATTTAAATATTATATCTATATATATATATATATATATATATATATATATATATATAGATATAGATATATATAAAAACTCATACAATTATACTATAATTTTGAACATTTCTTGGAATATCATATTCACAATTAAGTCTGTACTTAATAGTCAATCACAACGGTAAAGTGAAACTCTGAACCAAGAAATTTCATGCGTCGTTCTTAAGAGGTTCACCACTGGCTCCTTTTTCCTCTATTTCATCAAAGTAATCCTCTCGAGCATTTTCAGCCAACATCAGGGCAACCAACCAGAAGAGGGATGAATCAAGTGATAGAAATGCACCACCACCCAGAAGACCCGTCTTAGCGGTTGGGCACGCTGTCTCGAGATTCTGATGAACGTTACGAGTCAAGTGAATTTGCTCGGTGACTGTAGGCCATACGAGCAAAGTTATAGCCAATCCAGTTGTGAACCTGCAAACATAGAGAGTGGATTCAAATGATATGGCAACAATGCCTTACAGAAACCACACCGATCGATATGAATGTTCGATTGATAACATTTCTATTTCATTTTTATTGAGGGTAGAGAGGAAGATGATAATTAGGTGGTGCATTATCCCAAGGATCGAATTCATTCGACGACTCGGGGAAAAAGAACATCCATTGCAGCTCGACTTCATCAAAATGAAAATAAAAACAGATCCCAAGTGATCAAATAAATACGG